GACACACCCTCTAAGAATAGACAGCATAAAAAAAACCAGCTGATGACACACTGTTGGCACCGAATACGCTCTCCATTGGTCAGGTGATAAAAATGAACTCTGGCCAAAGGGGAAACTGGATTCAAGTGTTTCTCGTGAAACTGGATTGGTCGAATGCCCCGATCAGTGGTTTAACGCCAAATGGGAAGTTCCAATAAGGATTAGGTATAATCAATAGCCACAAAAAAAACAACAACAATCGGTACATCTAGAAGATACTAGATTTTTTATAGGAAGTAAGATATACTTCACGGGAAACAGATGGTATCTTCCCTCGGAATTCAAGGACCCCCGGGTTTGATCTAACTACACTCCAGTGTTCTGTCTGATTCATCATAACTGGACGCGGTTCAGTCGAATCGGAGAAGCATGTCACTAATCACGGATGAAAGATGCATCACATCCGATCGTATTTGGAACGCTGGCTGTTTCTGTACGATAACAGCTCCAAGTTGTCGTAAAGAGTTAAAGGCCCTCCAGTCACGTTTAATTCTTAACCCGCAGTGAGTAGTCAGTAACGAAACACTTGAGAATGTGTAAGTAACAATACTTCTTTATATAGTCATATGTACAGATCTTTCTTGCAGACCAAAATTGCATCTGTTCCAGTTTGATTCGACTGTGGAAGAAAGGAAAACTCACGAACAAGCGAACGAACGTGTGTGGCACCAGTTAGTCATAGTTTTGTTCATAGAACCGACTCGCCCCGGTCGCATTCCATGCCAGACTACGTCGAACGCCATGTCGAATTTGATTGCCCGTGAGCCAACTGGATCCGGTCATGACATGATCATGTGTGCCAATCCCGATCGCCGTGCTCGCCAAAGTCAAACGACGTGCCAGTCGCAAAACCCCCGTGGAATCTCCGTCCGGATAGCGCGGAGCCTGCAGTGCGTTATTTGCAACACGGGCCAGGGCGAGACTGAGCCGCCTGACATGCAAATCTGTTGCTGTGACTGAAGTCCGATAAGCATCGTTGTCGGACGGACGCGGTTGCTGTATCATTTCTCGCTGGGGTTCCGAACCCGGGATCGGGTTTGGCACAGGCGCGGGCTCTTTCATCGGTTCCGATTCCATCATTTTTAGATCCTCGGCTGGGATGGAGAAGGGCACAGACATGGGATTAAATTTGTTCGGACCGGTACGCTCGGTAAAACACAATTGAACTTGAAATCCAATTGCCGCAAGTAGAATGATGCAACCGGAAACGAGCAAATAATGCACAGATAGGAAGTAGCCACATAACAGCAATGTGGTGCTGCCGATGAGCATCAAAGGCACGAGTAGTTTCGTGATGATAAAATGCATCACCCGAAGCACACGTCGCCATCGCTTCCGTCGTTTCACCTTGCGATGAATAGACTTCAGTTTGGATAGATGCGCTTCCGGTGAGGCGGAAGCAAACGGCACTTGTGTACCCGGGCCACTGGATTCAGTCACGGAAGAGATGGTGGACAATGAGCTGGAATGATAATTAGACTGAGGAGTGGTATGAGTGGATTCCTCGGCCACAGAATTCAAACGCACTTTGGGGAATCGGGCAGCCAGAAGTGGATTAAAATTGGTGTTGTGCACAATTTGGTCACCCCGGGAACAATCCGGGACTGGTTTGATTCCGTTATCCGATTTGGATTCCGTGTCCATCGGTGGTGAACTGGTGGTCTCACTTTCTCCCATACTTGGAGAATAATCATAGGGCATGTCTATTTGTTGTTGTGGATGATGCATTGCCATAGTTGGAGGTGGGAAATGTGCTAATCTACTGAATGCGGGAAAAGCGTTACGTAATCAAAGTGAGTCTATATTAGCTTCCGTGCACAACATGGTCGCCTAAAGGAGAGTGAAACTCTAATGGGGTAAATTTATTGCGGATTCAGTTATTTAACCCAGGGAGCCAACCACGAAACAGAATAACGCTGACCAATCAGCAGAAAGAACTGTGCACCAATAGAATGGAGATCAATGGGACTGACATTTGAAAAATTCGATGCATGTCTTTTTCACTAATTTATAAACTATCTCGAATCTAGACGAATAAAGTACAACATTCTTACTCACCTATATATTTTACAAGAGCTGAAGACTAATTCTGAATCTCAGGAGGACACAGTCAAAGAATGAATGCATTTTTATTTCCTTATCACTGGGACCTATCGTCCGCAATTAATTCAGATCATAAAACAAATAGTTTTATTTCGTAGATATCACATCTCAGCTCTCAACGCCTCAAAACATACAACCTACTGCAATCCTTACGGAGTCGAAACCACCGATATGATAAAAACTGTCAGGTACTGTGAAACCACAATGTTTGCAAACCTTTGTCGCTCGTTCATCAATTCATGCGCATCCCATAAAGGCTCATATCGTGAGACTCGAGCTAGTACTTCATTCCTCTCTTCTCAATCACTCACTCAGAATATGGTTATTTTCTACAGGTTACCGCGATCCCGACCGTTAAGGATGTAAATGAGAGCAAATTTTATTAAAGTATTATTATGATCGAGCTCATGCGCCAGGAAATGCATTGAAATGTTTCTTCGTGTGTGTGTGTGTGTGTCTACACGCAGGGTAATTTTGCGTGGTGTGATGCGTATCGCCTTTGAATGAATGAGAACAGTCAAGAACTGTGATTACTCAATTTGACTACAGATATTGACCATACTCGTGCAACACCCCGACTTTCAACACGTTTGTTCTTCCCTACGATTAGTTTCTCCGGCCTCATTCACGGGATTGAATATGATATTGCCCCTCACATCACATGCAACATATTCGTAATAATATACACTTCTGTCTTTGATTCTCTTCTTTCAATACCATGAAAATGTACGATTTTTCAATTTCGACGATCATTGGTGATGCAACAGTTGTAAGATAACAAAGCCACGGTAACAAGCACACCACTAGATTTTATTTATCCAAATGACCCATTGACAACAGACAGGTACATTCACGATACATGTACTGTACTATTACCTGATCCATATTCTATTTACCTTTCTTCAATTTTGAGCATTGGAAACAGTCGCCTTCTCATGGAGTCCACCAATTTTACTATTCAACAGGAACCTAACAACAAGGCATTCAGGGTTTACTTCCAAACGGTAACCAGGAGGAAAACTCGCCTAATCCAACTGGACCATTCTCCGTATTGCTTCTGTGCAACTATTCTCCGCTGCGATCAAATTCAACTATCGTCTTGGTTCTATGTGATCGGTTTTCTCCCTCGTTGTTTGTGTCTGGATGGAGAAATTCTGTTGATTGTGCAACGAATTGGGCTTATGTTCACGTCGACATACTTTCACTAGTCAAGAGAGGACTGATCAGATTTCTGTGCCTCTCGGGTTAGACTATACGTGAAAATCTCTTGGATGTTCCATTCAACTTGGATACGGTGACGCTACAAGTGACATACGCAACGAAGTGCACACCTCAAGGCCAAATTTCCAAGATCAAATTGTTTGTTTCTTGGAACATATTTTTACATATATTAGAGATAATGCGTAAGCAGTTGGTAGTCAGATAGTTTATCAATTTGAAAATCAATACATAATGCATGGAGTGTCTAGGTTCGTCAGGTATGCAAACCGACTATGTAAGCTAAAATCTCTAATCCGTTGCATAACAGGACACTGAGCGACCGGGAACTTGCCTTTTTTTGATCAATTTTGATTCCACAGTCAATCGAGTGATTTCCATACGTCAGTTCTTCTTCTGTTCTATCAGAATCAGTTCCGCTATGGGCCTTATTGTTTCATCCCGGTGTGTGATCTGATTCTAGGAATGGTTCACTCGCTATCAGTATCGTTTCCCCTTTTTTGTACTGGCATGAAAAACAAAAGCACCATTGTAACAGGATGGCACAGTAACAGTGGGACAATTCGGATAATTGCCAGTGTGATTTTGCAGAATAAGGTGGGTAGTGGACATGGTGAATGCAGAGAATGCGTGTTCAAGTTGGTCTTGACAATCCCCTGGGATTCACAGCAAAGAACGAGCGAAGATTTTGCTTACTATCGCGGCGATCATCGTCATGGGGATCGAGAAACCCAGTCCGACCACCGACCAGTGACTGTGGAGTACCGATGTATCACGTGATTTTATCTGTCCAGTTAGCCCCGTCCCCAATTTAGACCCTATTTCTGTTCAACAATATAGATTGAAAATTATTTCCATGTAGCGAACGTTCACATTTCTTACTCAACTGTTCCACGAAATAATCATCCGCTTCTGTCAAGTCACTGAAGATCATGCACACATTCACAAACTTGCCGACCATAGCGTACGCTGTTTGGCATTGTAAATAAATCCGACAAACAATAGAAACGAGAACCAAAATATTTCCGGGCACCCTGTCTGAAGCTGGACAAGAAACGAGTATGAAATCGACTCACTTTCCATTACATTTGCGATCTTCGTTTTGCGATCGGATCGGTTTTCTCAGTGACTAGCTGCTCATCGCATATTCAGCTAAGCGTAGTTTTCGTTGCCATAATGTATGTTCAGGCAGATTCGAATTTTTGAATCACACTACTTCTACTATACAGGGAAACGAACTTAACTGACCATTGTCAACCTGGCAATGCACATGCATTGTGGTTCACTGGGTTCACAGGGTTTCCAGACACTAAGCAAGAGAACGATTAGAGTTCCCAACCAAAGTGTTTATTTCTGATAAGACCCTAACTACAAGGCAGTAGGCGAGGCGAAACGGAGGCCCATTTACTTGGATCGATTATTTCTCCACCACTTTTTACCGACTGTAACGCAAATTCTAGTCGAACTCCCAACCTGGAGCAACAGGAGACTGGACTTCGTCCGACCTCCCAGGTGTGATTAGATCTTCGACTTGACAAAAGCCATCCTGTGTGGTCGTTGGGTCAGAGAAGTGCACAAGCCATCACACCACGTCAAGGTGCAGTCTCATCGTGATGCCTGATAATGAGTCCATGTACGAAATAATTTTTGATAATTAATTTGATGATTTTTTGATGATTTTAACTGCTCGTCCTCATAATAACAATAACAATAGCAATAGTAACAATAATGCGATACCTCTGGTGTTCAAATCCCTGACGGCACTGTGGATATACACTACTGCTGAACTCTAATAAAAGAGCGAATGTAAGTACACAACTGATGAGATTACCACGAAATAGTTGAATTCAACACACATCCTGTGATCATGATGCCTGTTCTCGCTCTCATGCAAACAAAGGCTGCCTGGTGTGAACTACTGAACTGGCAAAGAAAAGTAGCAGTGGTGGAACTCGAACTCAGGATCTCCAGTTAGCTATTATGCTGACAGTGACCACTTGATCATTGATTCTTCTTCTTCACACACACACACATACACATACACATGCTCATCAGCTGATCCAAATAACCACACATTCGAGAAGCAATTCTCGAAGGTGACCACCAAGGTTTCGAAATTCCATAACTACGTTTACCAAAAGCTATTGGCAAACCGTTCACGGCAGCTTATGTTTTGGAATCATGCGGAGGAAAATACTGGAAAAATATTTATTACCAGTACCAAATTTGTGTTCGACCTCAATTCGCGTGCGTTTGTGATGTTCTTTGCTCAAGGTGAACAAACAGATGACGGTGAGTAAGGTCCTCCTTCTCTCTGCAACAACGACCCAATTAAGATTGGGAAAAGTGCGCGATCCAGATGCACTCCATCGATACCAGCAAGTCGATATCCGAAAGGCCGCTGAATCGATCCTGCTTCACTTGAGACAGATGCAACCACAAAGATCAGGACCGCGAAACCCGAACTATACAAACAGCGGAACATAGGTGCTAGGTGGTATCATTACCGTGACCACTGACAACTGGTATATCATGATTTATCCACATCCGACCTAGTCAATTTCATACCTATTTTGCTTGTCCGAACCAAAAAACACGACATCTTTTACGATTTGGTTCCATAAAGTTGTCCTCTCGTGTACACATTGACCCATATTGATCAAAACGCAACCACTGATCACTAAGTAAATGTTTCATTGACAGAAAATCAATCATCGATTGTAGCTTTTATTGAACACTGCGGTTGACCGTTTAACACTTCCATGATTCGGTACGCGGCAGATCGACAAGTCATACGGCCGATAAATTCTCGGTGATTAGGAATCCACGTCGTTTGCCGCATTGATCGACGAATAGAATGGGGTAAGCTGTACCGTCTCAATCGCCGATCTTGCGCACGGGCACGCATGCACACACACACACACACACACACNNCGTGCACATCATATCTGCCTGCGTTCCGTGATCAGTGGTGATCAATCCCAATGTGTCGAATGTTTTGGGCTGGTCGTTGATTTTGTCCGACAGATAATTGTCCAACAATTTTCTTATCATCTGACGAATAATGATCAATGCGTACCTAAATCGCTCATAAATATAGTGATAAATATGTGGGATTAAGATTTTATTGAACCAAAATCGGGAAACAGTTCTCCCGACCTCCCCCCCTCCACCGGGAATACAACCAATGATTCGGGGGGTTTTCTTTTCACTGGAAGAAAGACCATTGTTCATTTGGAAAACTATGAGTACGACTAGTGTGGGAGTTGATCAAGATACCGAGCAGAAACCGATGTTAGAGCAAAAAAGATGATTGCAAACAAAACTTCCGTCAACTTTCCGATACTATATTGCTCGACCAATGGAATGCGCGAGCGAGGAATAATATGGGCAAGTCAAAACATCACAATGCA